CTGCTGCCCGGCCACCGGCTGCGCTGGGTGTTCGGCAGCAGCGAGGACCAGCAGGGCGTCTGCTCCGAGACGGCGGCGCCCATGGCCGCCGTGGACCTGCGGCTGGCCCACCAGCCGGCCGCCTTCGTGGGGCCGGGCTGCGTGTACACGGCGGCGCCCGTGGCGCGCTTCACGAGCCACTGGCGGCTGCCGCTGGTGACGGCGGGCGCCGAGGCGCACGGCTTCGACGACAAGCGCGGCCACTTCGCGCTGACGACGCGCGCCGGCCCCAGCCACCGCAAGCTGGGCGAGCTGGGCGTGCAGCTGCACCGGCGCTTCGGCTGGCGCCGCCGCGCGCTGCTCGTCTACTGGGACGAGAAGATGGACGACCGGCCGTGCTTCTTCGCCGCCGAGGGGCTCTACATGCAGCTGCCCACGCTGCGCAACCTCACCGTCATGGACGTGGTCTTCTGCGACAAGGGCAACTACTCCTTCATCATCCAGGAGATCAAGCAGAAGGGACGGAGTAAGAGGGGGGCGGCATGGGGGGGGTGCCGAGCGTGGCCGTGGGGCGCGTGGCCCTGCAGGGGGGGGTCCCCTCGTGTGGGTCGCGTCCCCGTGTCCCCAGCGCCGCTCCGTGTCCCCAGCGCCGCTCCGTGTCCCCAGCGCCGCTCCGTGCCGGGCTGGCACCAGCCCCGGCCCCAGCGCCCGTCAGCGGCCGCTGCTCTTGGCGCTTCCCGCTTCCCAGCTGCCCTCCCAGGGCAGCGCCCGGCCCCGATGGCACCGAGCGGCTGCGGCAGCTCCGTCCCCGTGCAGCGTCCTGGCAGCGCCGGGAACGTYCCCCGCTCCGCAGGGAAGGGAGCGGGAAGCGGGGAGGCCGGCGCGGCGGCGGGGGGCTGGCGGCCGCCCGCGCTCAGCCCGCGTCCCCCGCAGTTGTGTACGTGTGCTGCGCGCCCGACACGCTGCGCGAGCTCATGCTGCAGGCCTGGCGCGAGGGGCTCACGCGCGGCGACTTCGCCTTCTTCTACATCGACATCTTCGGCGCCAGCCTGCAGGGCGCCCGCTTCCCCGAGCCGCGGCGGCCCTGGCAGCGCGGCGACCGCGACGACGCCGGCGCCCGGCAGGCCTTCGAGGTGAGCGCTGGGCGCGCATATCCATGCATTGACGTGCAAACGTTCCCGGGAGGCCCCTCTCGGAGCCCGGAGTCAGCGCGGGCGCCGCGGCCGCCCAGCCTCCCCGCCGGCCCTGCCCGCTCCGACCGCTCCGGGGAGGAAGGAAGCCCCRTTAATTTCCCCGCGTCCCGGCTCCGGCGCCGCTTCCAGCGGGGGTTATTAATAGTGTGAGCGGGAAGCCGCCCGCTCCCGGCCGCTGTCCCCCTCCAGGCTGTCACCATCATCACCTACAAGGAGCCCGAGAACCCCGAGTACCGGCCCTTCGTGGCGCGGCTCAAGGAGGAGGCGCGCGCCCACTTCAACTTCAGCATGCGCGACGGGCTGGTGCGGCCGGGAACGCGGGACGCGGCCGGGAACGCCGGGATGCGGGCGCCTGGGGCGGGGGGACCTGGGGTGGAGGTGGGGAGGCTGGAGAGGAGGGGACGGAGGAGGACGCTGGGGATGGAGGGGACATGGAATGGGGGGACATGGGATGGAAACGCTGGAGATGATGGAGAGGAGGGTACAGAGGAGGGCACTGGGAATGGAGGGGACGTGGAATGGGCGGAGATGGGGTGGAGAGGCTGGAGATGATGGAGAGGAGGGGACAGAGGATGGCACTGGGGATGGAGAGGACGTGGGATGGGGGACACGGATGGGGGCAGGGGATGGAGGTGGAGGTGCTGGGACAAGGGGATGCGGGATGGGCCTGGGGGTGGAGGGGACATGAGCGCCCTGTCCCCGTGTCCCCAGATGAACTTCATCGCGGCCGCCTTCCACGACGGGGTGCTGCTCTACGCGCAGGCCGTGAACGAGACGCTGGAGCGCGGCGGCTCCATCGCCAACGCCACGGCCATCACCCGCCAGATGTGGAACCGCACCTTCTATGGTGGGCGCCCATCCCAGCCCAGCCCATCCCATCCCATCCCACCCCACCCCACCCCATCCCAGCAGGGCCGGCGCCGCCTGCCCGGCGCCCGCTGGCCCCGCTCCCAGGCTGGTATTTCGGGACGGGACAAAGATTTACAGCCCGAGCCGCCCCTCGTGCTGCGTCCTCAGGCGTCACCGGCTTCCTGAAGATCGACGAGAACGGGGACAGGGAGAGTGACTATTCCCTGTGGGACATGGACCCGGTGCAGGGCGACTTCCAGGTGATGCCGGGCCCTGCGCTGGGCCGCCCGGCGCCCCGGGGCCGCTGCCCAACCCGGCTCCCCTCCGGTCCCGCCGGCAGATTGTGGCCAACTACAACGGCACCACCAAGGAGCTGCGCATGGTGCCGGGGCGGGAGATCCGCTGGCCGGGCAGCGCGGTGCCCGCCGACGTGCCRCCCTGCGGCTTCGACAACGGCGACCCGCTCTGCCGCAGAGGTGAGCGGCGCCGGCCGCAGCATCGAGTGCTGCAGGTCCTGCACTGTGGGAATCCAGCAGCTCCAAGGTCCAGCAGCTCTGGGTCCAGCAGCTCCAGGCTCCAGAACCTCTGAGGTCCAGCAGCTCCAGGGTCCAGCAGCTCTGGGGTCCAGCAGCTCTGGGTCCAGCAGCTCAAAGGTCCTTCAGGTCTGGAGTCCTTCAGCTCCGGGGTCCAGCAGCTCCGGGGTCCATCAGCTCTGGGGTCCATCAGCTCCGGGGTCCATCTGCTCTGGGGTCCTTCAGCTCCGGGGTCCAGCAGCTCTGGAATCTAGCAGCTCTGGATCCAGCAGCTCTGGGTCCAGCAGCTCCAAGGACCGTTAGCTCTGGAGTCCATTAGCTCCGGGCTCCAGCAGCTCCAGGGTCCAGCAGCTCTGGGTCCATTAGCTCTGGACTCCAGCAGCTCTGGGGTCCATTAGCTCTGAGGTCCAGC